AAACATATCAAATTCTAAATCTAAAATGAAAATCTGGCAAAAAAATTGTTTACTTTGTATCTATAAGACCTATCCATTACACACCAATCCTAAACAAATGACAGATCTGCAAGATCCATTTTCAAGTCATTTTCATAACAACAAAAATGTTAAGAAAATCTTCATAAACACCTGTATAAATTTTCATGTGGCACAAAGAAAATGGCTAAATTCCTAAATGTCTCGGAATATAAATCAGTGTTCAATCAGTGACACAAAACACAGCTGGACAGAGATCTAATACGATCCATCTATAAACCCGCTGTCACATAAAAAATATTCAATATTTTTGCATTGTAAACAACAAGTTACCAGATACGAACCTCTTTATAATGGGGCCTTTTCACTGTTCACAAGCTATAAAAATCAATCATATCATCTTATTAAAAATAAAACGCTTCTTCCAGATCAGTCAAAATTAGATTTTCATCTCATTGTCATAATTCATGTAGTAACAATTAATTAAAAAGACTGGGACATGATGTTTTAAATGTCTGACAATGATGAAGATGTCAAAATAAGGCCATAAAATGCCCAGGAATACAAAATTTGTAGGCTTGAGTCACAAACAACTATAGGTAAAAATATCTTTAATGCTATGTTTGTGTGGTATTGAGTTCTAATTGAGATACATGAAAAGAAATAACTTAGACTGTGATGAGATTAATTATTCTCGACTACCGAAGACTCTTGACTTTCATTTTAGTTTTTTATGCTGGATGATGCCTTTCAGAGAAAAAAGTGAAAAATCAAGGTGAGAAATCAATTCATAACAAGTGGGAAGATCGTGACCTTGACCTGAAATCATTTCTGGATCACTAGTCCAGCAGGCAATACACACACCCCTATCTTATAAGTGGTCCCCTGTTCCAACAAGGTCCCATTTATATAGCACCACCTACATGTCTGTTTACCCAGTCTATCACAATTCAAACAAAGAAAATTGATTTCTGATGGTAATTAAAGTATTTAGCCCTTCAAAAATTATCTATCATGGTGATAAAATAATCAATGAACTTGTCAGGTTCAAGGGGCTTTTGCTTCACTTCAAACATTTCAACATGAAATTAATGCAATAATGTCAGTATTTATAATTTATGGTCCTGGGTCCTATCACGGAGGATTATAGCCCCCTATCTGGTGGCAGGTAAAGGATTTTATGTCATATTAGAATACCTGGATCTCGAGTTTTCATAAAAAAGTTATAAACATTACAGGGTATGATAGCTAGGACAAGCTAAGATTAGTACAGGTCACAGTAGTGCCTTGGGAGGCCAAATAATTCCATCTTGTGAAGTCTTAGTATTCATCAGAAGGACTCAGTAAGAGATTAAAATTGTTACAGCAGCTGACAGAGTTCTAAAGACTATATAAACTTGACATTACTATTCCCTAGTCAACATTTTATTCTTGAAATGTAAATTAATATTTGCAACCCAAAACATGCCAGGGAAACAATTTCACACAAATATAGGGCCTACATAGCAAGTGATAACTGAATAATTTATTCTCAGCAAATAAATATTCAACAGACTAAAATAAGTTGAAACTTATAGCATGTATAAATGTTAAATAAAAAATGGTTTACAGTGATGCAAGATCCCAATTAAAAAGAAAAAGAAGCACACATAAAAAGATTGCTTCCAATTCATAGCCATCTTTTTATCCCTATTCATAATTGCAATCTGTTAGAGTTCAACCTGAGCAAGATTTTTGAGGAATCCTATAAATGCATTAGAGGATTGAATAAGAGGAGTATAAGTATTACCTGGTAATATTGGTGGAACAACTAACTCTCCATAAAAATCAGTATCTAATATTAATTTTTCTCCACAAATTGCAAAATCCAAATACATGTACATGTTATGACAATTTTCTTAAATTTTGAAATTTAAAAAAAATGTAAATCAAATAGATCTTTATCTTCATTATATTCTTTATACATATAGATACTGTGAGTACTTTTAGAATATAAAAGAACTTGAAGAAAATTGCACAAACCTTTCACGCCATTCATAAATGACCCTCCATGCTTGTGAAGACATCAAAAGATTTTAAGATGGCACTTTTGATAAACTATGAAACCATCAAACATACAAACTGACAGGAGGACAGATACCTTAATGTGAAGATCCAACTTCACCCTAACCTCTCCTGATAAAATTTCCCAGACAGTTTGCCAAAGTTTTGTAGACTTTGCTATTTGAATAAGATTCAGTATTGGACCATAAAATACAGATTTCCAAATCTTGTCCATAAAATGCATGGATCCACTTTCATTCACTGAGTCTGGGGCATAAAAACAAATTTTGCAAACTTCTGAGAAATATTATGCAAATTCACATAAGTTGTCAAAATTCTGAATGAAATTTGCTTGTCATTAATTTCCTCTGCTGAGGAGGTGATATAAAATATCTAGTACAGAATTGTTTTGCACCCTGCTGGGGGGATAGAGCTTGTACCTTTTCCTCTGGATTTCCATCCAAGGATAAAAGCAACTCAATGGACCTTGAGGGCTTTCCACAATAAAACATTCTCCTCAAGTGTAAGCTTGCATAAAATTCTCAGTGTATAATCATTATCTACCTATACATAATGCACATGATAAAAAATGAAATAAAAATATTTATATTCCCCACATTCTTGTCTGTTTGTATAAACTATTATTTTTTAAAAATAAAAGCTATAGTTAGGATTGAAAAATAAAAATTGAAGGCTCAGCACTTTCATAAATAAACATATGACAGTGACAGAGAAGCTAGCTTAGAGTACAATTTCATTAAAATTTTTTTTAACAATACTGGGGTCTTTAAAGTACTTCGTACCAAATGTTAAAGGAGAATTTTTAAACTTATTTACTTTTGGGTTAAAGCTTCCAATTTTACGCTTCAATTTCCGCAAACATTAGCAAAACCCTGTTACATAAGAGTATAAAAAGTCTGGAATCCATTGAAAATTACACTTTACAGAAACTCCAACCAGAACTATTTCTTCATGTAATTAGGATTTCATAATCAAAAGTTTCAATTGACTAAATGTACATGTATGCCTAATTGCCTATATTTTTCTTTAAGTAAATTATTGTAATGGCTGCATGAAAATATATTAATTTTTTCTACAGAGTTACATCCATGCATTCAAATGCAATTAAATGTTTAATTTATTCTGAAATTTCTTTCAGAGAAAATGTGTTTCTAATTTAATTACCATTGAAATTAATTATCAGAGTATAACATGAATATATTTCTGCATGATAAAGTAAAATATTTTAATATGAGAACTTGCAAAATGCATTTCAAAGACACAAGTGTACTTATGAAATGGTAAATCAAAATAAAAAAAAAAAATAGACATTGAATAATTGCAAATTTATATTTACAGCATGGATGAATTGTACATATTTAATGCAAAACATAAACTATTTACTTTGGCAATATTAACAAAGCTAAAATTTCATTAAAATTAAATCCATGCACATCTTGGTCCATTCATTAAATTGTAAACTTATTTTGTATCAAAATATTCACCTGTGTTGAAAATCCACATTGATGTATTCATTTCCCTGTTTCATAAAATCTTCTATAAGTAGTCTTTAGAAATCTATAATCTTCGAGATCAAGTTCATCTCATCCATATATAACCAAGTATTCTGTTAAAATGAGGCTTTAAAGGTAATTTCACTGCTATTTAAATTGTAACCTTTTCACCTGTGACCTCTGACATCATTCTAAAGAAAGAAAATGTCCTTTTGTCCATCAATAACTGTGAGATTTCAAAATTTAAACTCAGTGAATGTTTGTCCTTGCAAAGAAAAAAAAAGATTCTGGACATTTTTCAAAGAAATGTATCATGTGCTTAAAAATAGTCTGCACCATGATCTAATGTACCTGACAATGGTCAAAAGCTAATAAAAATTGTCTGTAAATTAAGAGGATTTAAGTTCAGTGAGAAACTTTTGTGGCTTTTCATGATTCGGCTATATGTAATGAATCATATTCAGGAAGTGGCAGAAAAAAAAAGTCCTTTTTTTTCAAAACAACAAATTTGCTAAAATTACCTCAGAAAACAAACAAGCACATTACTAAATAGTATAGGTAATTATGAGGGGGCTATTACTATTTGATGTCTGAATTTTTCTCAATTATTATTCCACCTTATGTAGTTTTTTACAGATTGAAAAACAGATAGCACTATTTTAACAACAAGTTTCAAGCTTCATCTAACAGACGTATTGATTAACTGATAGCGAAGTTAGCATCTTCATTTTGTAAAATATCACTTAAATTAACAATAGTTTAAAAAAAATAAATTTCAAACAGTTGTTTGATAATGGAAGATTTCAAGACATCAGCCTAAAATTATTATAAAATTGCATTTTAAGGAGCATTATGTGGTAAAGACCAATTAAAATTCCTACCTGCATATGCACATACGAGAACCTTGCATTCATAATACCACTACAGAATACATTTGACAACAGAATGCAGAAAGTTAACAAAATCCTGATATAAAAGGCCTGCACTTAACTCACCTGAGGTGAGATGCAATTTAAGGAACATGTCATTAACGGTCTCATAATTAGGAAACCAGGTAAATTTACTTGTACTAAATTCTCATTTAACGCTAAAGACGTTTGATTTAAAGTCCATTAGTGAAATCCTTTACTAAGTTTAATGTCCAATTTGATTACATCTCTCTGGGTTGAATTCGGCCATTTCAGTACTGATGAGCATTGGTGACAACAAAAACATCCGCTGATTTTTCGAAAACAAATAAACTTTAACCATGACCTATTGGATGTATGCCATTCATAAATGCATTTTGACTCAAAATTTAGATCTTTGAAGATCCCAAACAACATTGTCTACAATGAAATAATGTATTGACAACATTTCTACCATTTAGACAAGCATGGAAGACTCAATTCGTATATCTTTTAAATTATTTAACTTGCATCTTACCTTCATCTTCTAATTCTGTATTCAGTTGTGATTTCCTCATGGCTGATTTGTCTTTTCTCTTCTTCTTTTGCTCGAATTCTGCCACCTGCTCCTCAGATTGAATTTCACTGGTGGGTACTTGTGGAGTTACTTCCCCTGTTGGTGGCTGTGTTATTTCCCTTGGAATCTGACTTGTTTCCTCGGTTGATGTGGTTGTGATGGTTGATGAACTCTGTTGACCAGCCTCAGCAACAGAGAGTTGATCAGATGGGGGAGTGAGAAGTTGAGTTGAAGTTGAGCTGGTTGACTGTGATGAAGGTGAAATGGTTGATTGTGGTTTACTTGTAGAAATGTCTCTGCCAAGCGTCTCCTCTGCATGCGATTCAACCAATGACTGACTTGGTATGGCAGTTTTTGCCGGGCTGGGTTTATCCAATTTTAGTTTCCTAGACAAAAAATGATACATGTATTAAATCGATGTTGTCCTAATTATCTCGTGCATAAATAATTGAAAATCAATTGAAATTTCATTACTTTAGCACAATGTGTGACATTTAATGACAGCATAGCTACAGGTATTTGGGGTGAAACCAGGATAACCAGAAAAGGCTGCAAATCTTTCTTCAAAGTAATGCATGGGGTGGAAACTTTTGCATTACGTGATTATAAGGAATTTGGATAGATTTTTTTTTTTTTTAAAGAAAAAATACAAATATACAAGTATTGAGGGAAAAACATATATGGAAAAAAAGAAAAATGCATGAAAACAACATTTTCCATGATGCAAAGTACTTACATATATCGGAAAAAAATCTGTGAAATAAAAATCCTCTTTAGCTTTCTTGTGAACTAAGCTTCAGGCTTTAACAATATGTTTAACAGCTGATTCGTTTCGTTCACAATTTGGCAAATTGGCAATATCTTGTCTATTTCTGGTGTGTGTGTGTATTTTCCTACTCTCTGAACATGACATTGACCAAAGGATTTGCAGCTTTTTACTGGTGATGGAATCCTCATTGTGTGCGATCATTATACACAGCTAAATAATGTCAGCCATATGGTTTATACATCAAAACCGAGTTATCCCCCTTTCCAAATACCAATTTCTTATACTTGGATTACTCTATTTTTCTGTCACAGCTGAACTGAAGTGTGGTGTAAAAGGTCGTAAATATCTAAATGATTCATTTAAATTTCACACATGCATTTAACTTTCACTGAACTGTCATCAAACAGAATCATCAATGCATGATATAGAATATTTGAAACTGAGCCAAATATTTTCTTTCATCTGATCCAAATGCCAAAACAACTTAGCATCCAGTAAACATTCATTGATCAGTATATGCTAATCAGAAAATTGAGCTCCATAGCTAATTTAGAATTTTCACCAGAAGTCAACAATACAAGAAGTCAAAGCCTAATTTTCATCATTTCTGTACATCAAAGGTCAATTTGCTTACTTCCAAAATATTCTTTTTTTCAGCAGGGAAAGATATATACCCTGTTATTTAAATGAACAGAACAATTTCAACAATTTATAGAAAGGCATCATATGCAAAAATTGGTACTGTTTCTTTCTGAATAAAGACAGATTTGTGAGTGGCATTAAGAATTCGTATACAATAAAACTTTTTAAATCTATTTAAATTTACCTCATAAAAAATAGAAATAATATACTTATAAAGTGTACCATGAGAATTTCATATAACTTGATTTCTATATAGCCATACCTCTCTAAGCTTTCTTGACTACTGGTGAGTTCTTTGGTGGGCTTGGACTGGGCTTGTTTAGCCCTCACATGTAGCCCTTCCCTGAGATGCCCGGGCTCTGATTTCTTGTCTGCCTTATGGACACCCCATGGGTCATTTGTCTCTATGTCGGACAGGTAGTCCACCTTGTCCATCAAAAGATCATCTAGATTGGCTTCCGGAGACTTCATCAGAATGTTACGGACATCCGCTTTGGATGGTCTGTCGTCTGCTCTTCTTAGAGCACCTGCCGATTTGAGTTCTTTTTCACTGATTGTTTTACTTCTATGGACTGATGCCTTTCCGTGTTTCGTTTTGAATGACCTTTTCTTCACTGGTTTGGTACCCTCTTCATGTGGTTTCTTGTGATGGGACAATTCTGTATCTTTCTCCTCTGTGACTTGCTCAGCTTCATAAGTATCTGTTTTCTGTTTGACCTCTGCATTGGCCAGTGTGTCTTGTCTGGAGACAGGTTCAGCTTCCAGCACCATCTCTGCCCTTGGTTGGCTATACTTCAAAGCAGATTCCGGTTCTGGTGTGGTATGGGACCTTGGCAGGTTTTCAGATTCCGAAGGCTTATGTTTTGTCATCTCGTATGTCAACTCCTCTGTGGCTGGTACCAGCTTAAATGTTTGCTGTGTAACAGCAGCCTTTGACACTATATCTGTATTGAGTACTGGTTCAGCACTGAGCATCATTTCTTCTCTTGAAACATCAAATCCTAATGCAGATTCAGATTCTGATAATGTACTAAAATTTGGGACATTTTCAGGCTTTGGTGATGATTCAGAGTCAAATACACTTTCTGAACAAGCTTCAGGGAGGGTTTTAGAAGGGACCATATACTGTTGCTCCAAGGTTTCTTGTAATACTGGAGCTGGGATTTTATCTGGTTTTGATTGAGCAATTTCTGTTTTAGCAGGTTTTCTTTGAGCACTAGAATCATCAAGATTCCTTTCCTTTTCAAATCTAGACATTAACTTTTCTCGGTGAGACAGTTTTTGAGGCTGTTCCTGCGGAGTTTCAGGTTTTGTCACTGACTTCGATTCCTGTTGTGAAGTTGTTACTTTTACGTCACTCTGAATGTCAGCATCAGTCTTCACCTGGGATTTTTTAGTAGGTGAGAATGATGCCTTGGATCTAACAGGACTCCGTCTTCTCAACTTTGTGAAGCGAGAACTTTTCTTTCCAGCTTCCACATCAGGTGACTCAGTGTCTTTAGCACTTTCATTACCTATGGAACTTAAATACTTTTTACCCAAACTTTGTGAGGTATTTACATATTGCACTGCACCTTTCTCTTGAGATTTATCTTTGGATGCATCTGTTTTAATTTCAACACTTTGAGACATTGAGGTTTTATCTGCTTTCTTGGATATAGGTTGTGAGACAGTTTTTGTAGCAGATGCTTTTTTCTCCTCTTGACTAGAAGTTATATCAGACTTGGATAAGTTCTCTGACTTAGATAAATAATCTTTTGAGTGAATATCAGTTTTCTTTTGAACAGATCTGTCTTTGTCCTCTGTAGTCTTTGAAGTTGTTTTTGAAGTGCGAGGCTTTCCACCAAACACTTTAGAATGAGCTATCTGAGGTTCTTGGGTGGATGTAGTCTTAAGTGAGTCTTTAGACACTGTGTCAGTTTTCTGGTGATCTTTGTTACTCTCTGGTTTGCTGGACATATCTATGGGTGATCCTGCCTCAAGGGCAGAGGGAACAGAGGGAAGGTGTCTTCTCTTTTTCTGAGGTTTTGTGGCATCAAATTCTTCTACTTCTACATCCTTCTTCTCAGTGGGTTTTCTAGTGTCATCAATTTTAGAATCTGGTTTTGACACCTTAGAAGCAGAATAGGATGTTCCAAACAAGAATTTTTCCTTTGGCTCAGGTTTGGAAAAGGCTTGTTTGGCCTTACTCATATCAAAAGCTATTTCCTCTGAGACACTGGGTTCTTCAGATGACATAGAAGTGGACAAAGCAGACGTGGTTACCACTTCTCTGAGGAGGTGGATGTGTCTAGCACTGGAGATCTCTCCTCTTCTGTTACAGACTGTCTCTTAGTTTTGGCCTCAGAAAAGTCAGTTCCAAACAAATACCTGTTTTTAAGTTTCTCTATAGAGGATTCGTCTCCAATGCTCTTTCTGTCTGAACTTGATGAGCTTCTTCTGCTTCTTCCCTCCAGAGGTGAATCTGTAAGTGACCTCCTATGCCATTTCTTAGAGTCATTCTCTTCACTGGTCTTGTTCTCAAACAACTTCCTGTTCTGGGCTATCTTCTTTGTAAGAGAAATTTCCTTACCAGATTCATCAAATGATTTTATTTCTTCAGCAGGAGTTTCCTTCTCCAGTTCACTAGGACTCTGTGTTGTGGATTTCTTGGGTGACAAATCTTCCCTCAGACTCTTTGAGCGAGCCACTGGTGATGAATATTTTTGTGGCGAGCCTTCCCTCATGCTTTTGGATCGCCCTAATGAACCTTCACCACTTTCCCTTGCTGCTGTGAACAGGGAAGGCACCACATCTTTACCACTACTTCCATCACCAGGCTCACTAAACATGCTGGCAAGATGTGTAAGCTGTTTCTTTCGTTCCTCTTTATACCTGGCTATCCTTTCGGCACGAGACAGGTTCATGTCCATAGAAAATGCAGAAGAAAATCCTAAACCTGCCTCGCTTTCTTTGGCACTCTCTGGTTTCTTTGTCTCTGCTTCTTTTGGTTTTTCATCTATTTTACCTAAAGGTGTTCTTGATCTTCCAACAGATGATTTTGGTGCAACGAGTTTTGAATCAACCGAGTCTGTTGTCTTGCTAAGATTGTCTTCTTTCCTATCATCAATTGTTGCAGCTTTCTTGACTAAAAGGCTACTAACGTCTGTAGTTTTGGCTCTACCATACACACGCTGGAATTTTGGCTTTTCCGTTTTATCAGTGTCTTTTGGAGAAATGTCTGATACTGTTTTGGGTGTTAAGTCAACCTTTTTAATTTGTGCAGTATCACTGTCTTTTAATCTTGAAATTTCTTTCCCTTCACTTTGAATTGACTTTGCACTTGTTAACTGTTCATGAGATTTATTATCAGTATCAGAAGAAATCCTTGTTTTGAGCACTGATGAGGGAACTTTCTCCTCCAAAGTTGTTTTACAAGAAGTTTTTGTGTCCCCCTCCTTTGATTCACCAGTGTGTTTCCTTTCTGATCTGACACTCTTGGGGTCCTCAAACAAAAGATCACTCATGTGTTTCACAAGTGAAGGTCCTTCTTGTCCATGATGCCTTGTTCTTCCCAGACGAACTGCCCGCTTTGATGGTGTCTTATCAACCTCTGGTTTCTTTTCACCATCTGGCTGACTATCCTTATACAACTGAACATTTGTCTGTACCTTTTCCTGATGGTCTTTGCTGTAATACTTTGACAAATTATCACTCTCACCACCACCAGATTTTGGGCTTTCCCATTTTCCTCTGCTTTCTGTTCTTGAGTCTTTAGAGGGTAAATTTGTCCTAGATTGAATACTCTCAGTTGCTCTGCTGTCAGTTTCAGTGGATGTTTTTGAGACAGTAGATTTTGGCACATTCGTTGTACTCTGTGAAAGTTCAGAGTCCTTCTGTTTCACTGTATCACGCATGTTATCAACATGAGAACGGGAAGACACGAGAATTCTCCTCTTAGAATCCTGACGATTTTGTTCGATGTTATCCTGTTTCAAACGTTCACTAGACACTTGCTCTGGTTTCGACATTTCAGCACTTTGTTGCACAGAGCTTTTTAAGTCCTCAATCCTTGCTAAGTTTTTCTTAACACTCTCTGTTACTCTGTCCCCAGTTAGAGGTTCCTTTGTGTCCTGTTTTTCCTTTTCTCTGAGAGACTCGTGAAGAGCTCTAGCTGAGCTCCATTCTCTCTGACCACTTCCAGACTCTTGTGATATATCAGACGCACTGTCCATAGATTCTTTCAAATGTTCTCTTTTTCTCACTGCTTCTCTGTACCGTGATCTTAATAGAGGACTTTCACTTGTTAAAAGAAGATGTTTAATGGCATCAGCATCCACTGATTTAGGTCTCTCTATTTTTTCTAAAAGGTTTCTTTTTCTGACTTCCTGTTGTTCATGGGTTGAACCCGTTGTTTGATCTTTTGTTTGTGTGGGGATCTGTTCAAAAGATGAAATGCGTTCATGGGCTTGTAATTTCTGTTTATCTGGTTCTTCCTTTACTATTTCAGCTTCCCTTTTCTCCTTCTGTTCTCTTTCCAATCTCCTTTGTTTCCATGGTGACAAGTTAGATGATCCAGTGGAATCCTTACTTCCGAAATTATCCTTTCTGATGGATCCGAAATCGGGTTTCTCCAGACTGTCCTCAACACTTCCCAGCCTCCCTTGAAAATCCCAGAACTTCCCCTTTTCCATCTTTCACTGAAAGAAGCACTTTTTAATGAATCCACTGAATCATCTAAAGAAGAAAACACTGGTCTGTCAAGGTCAAAGCTCTCGGTGGTCTCACTAGGTTTCCTCGATTCTGGTCGGTACATTTCGTAGGTTCCTTTGATTTGACTTTTTTCCGATGGCGGTTCCTTTTTGTCGTCTCTGCTGCGATACCTCAGACTCCGAGATCGGATTTCCTGGATGTCGACGTCCTTGCTTTGTGTTGGAGCGTCCTCCTCTAGTGGTTTGTATCGTTCATATGGTGATCTCACTTTTCTTGATGTTTGCGTTTCACTTTGTTTTGTTTCCTCATTTTCTCCATACCTACAAAGCAATGTAAACAAAATTACACCTCATAAATATTGATTGCTAACCTTAATTTATATTCTTTTAATGATTTCACTATATTTCCTCACTAACAATGACTAACTTTTTAAAGAAAAAAGTAAACTGCTGTGTCATTATTTTTTTAGGAATAAAAATTTGCAGAGTATATAATTTGAGATTGTCCCTGGGGGATATATAGAGGGAGGGAATCAATTTAACTGTTCCTATCTGTTTCTCTTAGTTCACAAATATTTTGTTTGATAATCAGGGCCCTCTGTATAAAGTTATTAAACAATCCAATCTTATCTTCTCTAGTGTTGAAAACTTTATCATAAACCAATTCACCTGGCACCTTCCACTCAGAGGCCATTTAAGGGGTTCAACTGTCATATACTCAATTTAGCCAATTTATATATGGTAAAAAAGAGATCTTCCTCCAGACTTTCATACATTGATTATACTTCTTCATTTTTAAGACTACATGAAATAGCAAGTACTACCTAGTTGTAGGCAGTCTAGATTGGACAGTGTTACAAGTGTTCAGCCACCCAGACAGAAGTCCATAATTTAACCACCCACTTTGGTAACTCAGACCTTTAAACGGTGTATCAATTTCTCCTTAGTCTATCATTTTACCCCACCTCCTGTTAGATCACAACGTAAACTCAAGTACTTTACCAAACCAACTTGTCTATATTTTTCTATTTTTAGAAAAATGCTTGCTGAAAATTGAATAAAATTCAACCCAAAATTTACAGGTCTGGAGTAAATGGGCTAATGCAATGTAAAAATAGACCATGATAATTGGAAATTACTAAGCTACAATGCCAGGCAATAAAAATTTCTCCATTAGTGCAGGTAAAACAAACAGCGCCATTCCTTGACAGGTGCAGAGCTTTTTGTTTGTATGCACCACATGCAATTCAATTATGACACCTGCGGTTCATATCATATGCCTTCAGGGAGCTCTTGATATTTCTTTATTAAACACTTCACTATTTATAATATGTTTTCTCCATATTTAGCACTGTAAATCGAATGCAGGTAATTTCTCTCTCTAAAGCTAGTGTGTCATAAACAGGACAAAGCTATAACATCTCCACAAAATTTCTACAATTCTTTTTGCATAAAATACTATTGTGTGCAATGCATGAAATGTAATTACAATAATTACTTGGTATACACCTTTGTAATTATAGGGGCAAAAGTTTAGACATCTTCATTTGACATTATTTTTCAAAGCTTCACTATGTATACATGAAGGAATTTCTAGCTGGTTCCTTAATTCAACAAAAAAGTCTTAAAACAGCATTCTTCCTTTAACGGTAATCTAGCAGCAATTACAACTAGAGATGGCACAGGTATTTCATTTAAAAAAGTTATTTAACAGTCCAGATATTACCGCCTTTTATTCCCTTCCAAACAACAAAGATCAGCAACTTGATAAATTGTGAAAAATAATATGCCATTTATTGTTTGAATTTTGTCTTCGGGGGTTACTTGAGTTTAGACCAATCTTCATTTATCCTCCAACCTATTTAGTACAAACAAAGCTTTTGTGTTTCTCCAGGATAGTAGAAGATATATAATTCAGCTTATGAGAAAGAAATCTCCCCTTCCCCATTTTTAAGCCTTATTGTGACCGATATTTGACTGCACCAAGAAATCTTGTCTTTGGAATTACCCGGGGACAATGAACTATCAAGTTCTATGATAGCATGTCATTCCTCATTAAAACTCATGTATCTACATCTATTCAATAGGTTTTAAGAGTTAATATTACTGATTTGAAGGCTTTTAAGTGACATTTTCATCTGAATGGAAAAACTTTTGACACATATCAAATTAATGTTCTTTGTTAAATTTCTTAAACTTCTTTAAAATGTTTTTCTTTTTTCTTCTGTATCCAAGAAATTCATTTCCTCTCTATTGTTATAGCTTAGAATTTGACACTAATTTAGGAACAAAGTTGTTGTCTTTAATATCTAAAGAAATATTAAATTACAATTTTCTTGTAAAAACAAATATCAAGAACTTTATATCTGCCTCTGAGAAACAGCTTTCCAAAACATCTGACACAGACTTTGGTATTGCAAATTGTTTCCAGCAAACTGAGGAGTTGAGAAATGTCTCTAAGATATTGGTAAAGTTACTTCTGATTTTAAAGGATGATACACACTTTTTTGACAAAAAGACAAACCTCTGAGTCTCTCCCTCTCATGACCAAAGCCTGGACACAGAAGTCATTCAAAATAATGATAGATGTTCAAATTACTGTAATAGTGTAAATAGTTTATCTGAAAGATCGATGTCAAGAAAAAGGATTGCTAATATACAATACTTCTTAATATTTGATATTATTAATCCATCATAAGACTAAACCCTGGTACAGGAATTCAGAATTTTAAAGTTTGTTTTGAAGGGAACATTTTTGGACATCCAAAAGTAAACAAAAAAAATTTTCAAACACTGAACAAACTTTGAAAATATCCAATTTACTAGACCCGTGGGTTAGATCACTGAATCTAAAGGTAACGAATTTTTAAGACTACGGAATAAGGTTATTACATATAACAAACTCATCCAGACAGTATGCCTTTTTGATGTCAAGGGGTAAGAGAGAAGATTTTGAGCTTTCATTAATTTTCAAATTCATATTAATGTGTATTACCTACAACCTTCAAACAAATACAGAGAGAAATTAGGAAATTAAAAATTTACTCATTGGTACTATACAACTACCAAAAATTGACAAAATTTAATTAAGAATTTGAAATAGACTGAGAAATGTTCAGAACTCAGGGGTAATTCAGATTGTACAACAGAATGAAAAAGATAGATATTTGTGGACAGGACCGCCCATCTACCCCCTCCTCAGCCTTTGCTTTTTTTTTTAATCAGATATATCAAAATTCTATGTCTTTGGTACTGTCCTAATAATATTTTGTATACTGTATAGGGGGAAAATAACTCGCGGTGTTAATATTCGCTATATTCACGGTGATAATAAATCCGTGAATTCAAGAAACAGTGAATAAATTTTCTATAATCTCCATGTTTTATTTGGAAATTTGAGAATAGACTACGATAGGTTTAAATACATGTACATTTACATGCACCACTGTATATGGTCATTTCAGTAATTACGAGTAGTACTTGTCAGTCAATTATTTTAATTAGCACGCTTTACATTAATTCAAGTCAACAGATAATAACCTGTAATTGTTAAAAGGCTTTTTAATAGCCAACGCTACATGTTTCATCAATCAAAACACGTGGGCCATGAGTTTTGATTACTCGTACGTAACTAATGTTACCATGCACAGTGTGTGCATTACCTGCATTATCATGCATATTATAGTTTTTATCGACATTTTAATTTGATTTTTAAAAAAAACATCCAAATAACTATCGAACTTACTGAAGATTTGGAAGGATATTATTTCGTCGACCTACATTAACACATTTATTACCGTCCAGTGGTTTTTCGCCGCGATGTATTGAAGATCTTGGGGTGTACATGCACTCATCGTAATAGAATATAGGAAAGTTATTTGATGTTTGTAGTCAAGGACTTTTGATAACTGCACTGTTTTAATTAATTGTCAATTATTTATTAAGTCTAACTGTTTTATATTAACCTACCCTGTTGTTCGTGAAATAAAGACATAACAATGATGAATGTCGTTTACATGTAGCAATGGATTAAACGGATATAGACAAGGGAGGTAACTTCTATAACATAAGAATTCCGCGAATTCAAGAAACCGCGATCGTGTTCGATGAGAGAAAACCCTGAAAATTACAACCCGTGAAATTAATCCCCTATCCAGTATTCATGACATAGATTAAAACTTTGGGTAGGAAAATGCAGGACTGCTATACCCCATCAAACATCATAAAGAAAACCCCCTACTACAAAATAAGATAATTATATCCCTTAAGATATCTATGATGAGAGGCCAATAAATATAGATTCCAATATAAAAATTTATACATTTACCTTGTAGAGTATTTAGACTTGGGTTCACTCCCTTGATAACTGCTTTCATAAATAGAGGTATTTCCGTAGTTCAATCCATCTCTGGAGGCGCCACCATAGCTTGTTCCAAACTCGCCACCACCACCATACTTTGTTCCTAACTCCACTGAGCCTCCATATTTAGGTTGTGCAGTGTCTTTAGAACTGCCATACTTTGATCCTAAGTCACTTGAACCACCATACCTAGTTCCTAAATCACTTGAACCACCATATTTAGTTCCTAAATCACTTGAACCACCATATTTAGTTCCTAAGTCACTAGAACCACCGTATTTAGTTCCTAAGTCACTGGAACCACCATATTTTGTTCCATAATCGGTGGAGCCACCAGCATATCTGGTACCTAACTCAGTGGAGCCACCAAATCTTGTCCCAGTGTCAGAGGAACCACTATATTTAGTTCCAGTGTCATAAGAACTGCCATAAGAAGCGTGTCTTTGTGGTCTCTGGCTTGACTGGTAACCACTTGTATGTCCATATGATGAACCTAATGCTTGAGAGCCTGAACTTGAACCAGTGCTGTATGAACGAACTGCTGAGGATTGTGGGTAGTCATATCCTCGAGTATATTTGGACATAATTTCATAAGTGTGGGGATCTAAGCTGCTAGCATAGCCATTGTAAGAAGGACCTGCAAGAGAAACACTTGTTGTTAACATTGATCATTTGCAATTGAACAATATGTTGAGGACATAAATCAATTAACAAAGAACAGAAAATCAGATTGAAGTTTAGCTACTAGCGAAAGCAATAGATCATAATGATGAAATGAAGAACTCTGAGCAGTGTAAAAGTACAAATGCCCCTCAGAGAGTGCCCTCCCAAAAGATTTTGATATAACCTATAATAACAAAGAGAAGGTGGGCATCAAGGTTTTACAATCCTACTCACATGCAGACAACAGGGTTACCTTTGGGCTTTGATGCAGAAACAGCAAAGAACTTGAAGTGGTGACAAAGACAATGTGCCTTAATCACACAGAAACCTATGTCTTTTGAGCACATATCAAAAGACATTTGGCATAAAGAACCCTGTCTTACTTTCAGGAATGACATAACAAACCACCCAATCCACCCTCCCTCAAAGACAAAGAGATCTTGCAAGGTTTGATATAAACAATGCCAATTTAATACCTATGTAATAGACAAAGAAAATCCAAGGCAAGCCTAACTCACCACTGTTCTCAAAAAGACACATAAAACAGATAAGATACCCTGAGATAATGAAAGGAAGAAGACATATAATGATGCAGATAAGCTCTTATAAATAATGATATGAAGAGGACTCAGAGTGAGACAAATCATTGGGTAATGGTAAGAAAAAGATATGAAGTAAGGTAAACAAGATACTAAATAATGATATAAAGAAGACAAAATTGACAAATTTATCTGAATATAAATGGTTTATAAGGAAGCAGAAGTTGCTGAGCTCACCTGAGTAATCATGGTTGGACAGTGCATAGGAGGAGTACGGCAGGTCTGCACTTCCTGGCCGGCTAATGTACCTCCTACGACCTACAAATAAAGCAACATTTATAAGTCACTATCAACTACATCAATAATTACCAAAAATCTTAATGAATGAATGATTCCATGGAAGAAATTTGTTCATTTTGACAACCTTTTAAATATGAAAATTATAAATGAGTCAAAAATTGTGACAGTCCTTCATAATAATCTAGACGATTTTTTGGAATTCCACTACTTACAACTCATGTCAATGATGAAGGTTTAAAAAAAGAAAGAGAACTGATGTTACATGACAGCCATTCTGTCAGCTCGAGGTCAGTTGCTTGACTATGACAGTCAGCAAAAATATACACAAACAAAACAGGGTAAATAGGGTCCTATATATCAAAATAAAGGGGAGTGCACGAACTAAAGGAGTGCTTTATAATCTACCCAGTGTTGACATAAGTATTTCTTTGCGGTAGAAAAAATAATGTTCAAAGGTCCCATGTTTAAATGTTTTGGGTCACGATACAAGATCAAAATCAGCTATATAGATATATACGCTAGCTAAACAGGATAGCGTTGACCAATGTTCATTGAGGTATGAAGGAAGTATAGATAAATATACAAACAGATAGAATCAGCTACGGATTTCCAGTTTTGATCGGATAATTCCTTTACAGGGCAATACTACATCTGACATTTGTGACATCTGACAGATGGTTAACACAACCACAAATTGTCAAAAGCCACCCAGCTCACAATGATTCTGGGTCAAATCAGTACAGGTTCACATGATACACTCAAACACAGTAGAACCCGGTTAAATTCGGTACTACCTCACGTCAGCTTGTAAATTTATCCAAACTACCTCCGGTTTACTGGCTAATCTATACCTGTGGTAACATTTATGATGAATTAGCAAGCAGTCTTTTGTCATTTGAGCCACATACAATGATGTATTGAAGAATTCGAGATTTCAGGTTCTAATTAGCTAATATAATTGGGTATATGCCTAATGGTATCTGTTTATTTATCACTGAAGAAATCAAATTCATCTAGACCTAATGAAATGATCTGAAGTTTTCTAATTGTACATCACAACCAAATAATTCACTCTTTTAATCCATGCAGACTTTGTGAATACAAAGTTGATTTTCACCAGAGATGATTTATTATCAGGATTGTCAAAGGCAGCTCAGCAGGGTAGTCCAAACCTTAGACACCCAAATTAATACGTTTATGCAAAATACAGGTGTCTTCAAATGATTCATCCATCTACCCACTCAGATACACCAAAAATTCAATACCTGCTGGAGATAACAAGATTATAATTAATGTCAGTGCACTGCTAAGGCACAAGAGAGACCTATAATTCAGGAACTGGCTAGTACACTCATAGAAGCAAACAGTGACCTTGAAGGTTGATTTACTTTTAATTCAAATGCAGGAGCATTGTACACAGATTTTTGTAAAGAATTACCATTTATATGGTTTTTCAGAGAACAAATGAAACGTTCAATAAAGGTTAGCATAAACATGTAGATGTAAAATAAGATGGCTATAGTCAGACAGAAAAACCCTGGGAACTACTGAACTACTATACAGGAGTTCAATAAATAATGTCATTAGCTCGATGACATACAACATAGTAGTCATATGACATAAAACTTTCTCTCATTATTGAATCTTTAATGAATGTATAACAGTTTATGTGACCACTTTTCATCACATAGTTTTATTGTGAGAAGCTGGGAAACAAGGGCTATTCGAGACACTGCATTATAAATGACTGGTAAAGGATCAGTAAACTATGAAAATAAAAGCTACATTAAAGTGTAAAACTTGTTAAAAATCCCAAAGAAATATTCACTGAAATATGTGACATTTACAGATGTTTTATAGACAAATTAGCAAGTGGATTTCAAAGATAAAAAATTATATAATGGGCACTTGCCAACAAAAATTATAACAACTTATGTACTGATCGCCGAATTTCAACAAATAATATTTGATGATGTTTGATTGACTTTAAGACACATAGCAAATTTGATAGACATCATATCGGGAGTAGTTTACACTGTTTTTAAGAAACGTTTGATAGTAATTAAGCTAAGGTCACCCTGTTTTGAAAAATCTGAAAACGACAGCGTGTACAAAAGTGTTAACAATTATTTTAAAATATCAGCATATCCACGTTTGTTTTATAATCAAACAGATATTGGAACATGAATCTATTGCTTAAAATCATTAAAACAAAATTTACCTTGATAAAAACAGTCAAGAGCAAAGGCAGCACAAAAACAGATTTATATGCAATTTTCTTAAATATTATGTATTATTGTTCAAATTTATGGAAACTGAAGGTGTCTAGAAAGCAGTTTTTTTGCAAAAAAATCGAAAGGTTTATCAGAGAAAGGACCCAGAATCAGGAATCCACTACATTGAATTTCCAAGACAGCGTTTAAACCCGCATGCCCAGGTACAGAAAGTTAATTTAATTAACAATATTTGCCAGATCTTTGACCTTTTGACTTTTTTCTATTTCCAAACTTGAATAAAACACCTTTTAGAAGGAAAAAACAAGTCCAGGAAATCATTTGGTCTGCCATTTTCCAGTATACTAAGGGTCATACCCAAACATGAGCTAAAAACAATCAGAAATTGGATAAAAAATGTTACGGACATGTGTTTGAATTGAAATAGATTAATAAGTAAAATCATGAAGTAAATCATTGAAAAGCGTCGTTTGCTTCTTTCTGAGCCCCAATGACATTATTTATTGAACGCCCCTCGTACATGTACCCACCCAGTTCCTTCACAGTGGCAAAATGAGTTTATGGAAACATGAGTTCTGAGAACATTCCTTCCTCAATAAAGCCAGGTACATTAATTCATTGACTTTAATGAACCTGAATCTAGCTGGTTGTAAGATATTGCCTTAAGTTCCTAAAGATTCATGGATGGAAAAAATATGAGTATCATTATATGACCCTTAGAGTGCATGCTGAAAATAAGATATTTCGATTGCCCAAAACTGGAAACAAATGGATTATAAAGGATAATGGATTATCTTGGTAAAATGCAATCTGAATGCAGGTTCACTGTGAAAATTAATTAATGTAATCACTTATCCTGATGTAATTAGAGAAACTTATCTAACTATCAGAGTCTGACGAAGGTGATGTATGGAGAAAAACGATACACAAGTGGCAGCAAGCCAGAAACTCATCAAATCATCTTTTTCTTTTTACAATATGGATCAATATCTTTCACAAAACATTTTTATCAAGCTGATACATCAGGGCTGCTATTCATAGCCCCCTCGCAGACAAACAGCTTTCAATAAGAAGGGTTAGTTCTGACAACTGATCAAGCTTGCAAGCATTCTTTGGAAAAATGGTAGTAGAAAACCCTGCAGCTAACATTATACATAGGTTACCTGAAGACAAGAGAGAAGATGTGCTCCTGATAAAGTCAGGGTTCCTTATCTGACCTACAGATCTGGGCAGTGTAACTAGGATTTGTATTGGGGAATGCAGAAATGCAATGGAATTCTATATGATCCATGAAAATTAAGCAATTAATTCTGAAAATTTAATTTGTTAAATTATTAAATACAAATACCTTGATTTCACTAAAAACAGAACTTCTGAATTTATATCAAGGGTAAAGGTTCAATCTCTTCTTCATATTAAGAATATTTAAAATGTCAGAGCACTACAGCAGTTATCATGGTTATGGTACCCTGAAAATTATGTGGCCTGTAACATCAAATTACAACACATGACAAGAAATCATAATACCTACATCAGAGTAATACAATATGGTTTTCCAAGGACATTAATTCTCCAAAGATATATGAATGCTTTCAAACCGCAAAATGATTTCTAAAAACACCTTTTCCCACTCACAAACACCTACACACACTAACATCAGTTCACATTTCATACCCTGATATTATTTGTAAAAACAAAATTGAATTTTTTTCCTTACAAAAAGAATCCTGAAGGTTTCTTTCATTTTATTATAAAAAAAATCGATTTTAAAAAAGCATTCAACCATTAAAATCCTTACTTCAATGTACTCATAAGAAACACATACTTGCCTCAAACAGATAAGATTTTCAAGTTTCTTGTAGTGGAAAAAAATTTTATGTGTAATCCAAACATTTAAAGAAATGCATCTCATGTAAACACCTTAATTCCTTGCTATTTGCACTGCGGAAATACAAAATCAATGTTGATTCAACAACCATGAAGACATGAATGAAATCCTGGAAACACAACGTCCAAAACAACTTTGAAATTGTCCAATCCTTCAACTGTTTCACAGACAAACATACCCTGCACTCCTCAGATTAAATCCGCTCTCTTCTAGTGCATGACAATCAAGCTATTCAGATATGTATGCACTTTCTCAGATATTAAACAGCATAAAAATAACACTCCTGTCTTGTCAATGAAATTTCAAGCCATTTAAATGGACTCCTTTCAGGAATTAAGAACCACCTTCAGGAGTTTGCGTTCCTGCCCCCTCAAGAGAAACTTTCACCCATTTCTATCTAAACCTGCTTTAAATATGACATGCTGATAACTTAACAAAATACCTTTAGTGGAAAGAAACATGCAATGTCTTCCAAGTTTTCAGACAAAACTTAAATTAAACCTTCTCTATGAATCCCAGTATTACATGTATAAATGTATATGTCTTAACACAATATCCCTAAACATTACGACAGATTTTCACTTGGTCAGACACTGTAACAGGTTTCACAATAAAGCTTTGACAAGGTCGTAAACACTTAATAATGTAATTGACGATCGTCTATTTACTCGTTTCTTTGATGGTCTAGAAAGCTATTACTGTATCAAATTTGATCTCACCTGTTTTTGAAAGCCTTACGTATTTACCTGAATGTAAATTTCAAGGTACATGAACCCATTTAGATCAATTCTTATATACATTTTGATTGGATACCTCTTAATTCTAAATCTGAAAGCTAATCAATAAGGGGTATATATATCCATTTCTAAGTTGGATTCTATTAAATTTTAGGAATT